CCTCCAGACTTCTGACTTCGACAACATATTCCGCATGGATAGTAAATCTTCGTTTTGGTTTAAAGATCTTGAAAAAAAGGATTGGTGTCGGTCTCGCCGAGACCGGGTCTATGTTGTCCATATCTAGAGAGAAAGTATAAATTCATAAATAAGAAAACATTCTTAAACTCTAAAAACCCACTTTAACTGGTAAAAATGAATCTTACTTCTAAAGTCGAAGTCTAATAAATATTTTAATTGAATGAATTTTAAGAAATTCTTATCGATATTAGAAAATTTTATACTAATCTACAAGTCCAATAAAGGAATTCAGGAATTTAAGAAATCTTCTTCTAATCGATTTGTTTCCTATTTTTACTCAAGTTTGATAGAAAAAAAGAGGTAAACATAATTTGTTCAAAATGCATAAATTTATTTTGTCTTCATAGAATGTAACGTTAATGAATCAGGAATGTAGATATTGTTGAAAATATTATTTGAAATGAAACAACGACGAAATCTAGATAATATTCAATTGTGAAATGTTAGAAAACTTCGATTTGGAGACAATTATAGTCGTACAATTGGTATGTACAACTTTTGTTTTAGTTATATAAGTTTGATACTTTTAGATCGTTAATATTCATAATACAGTAAAACTTGTCTGTTGTGAACACCAATTGAGATCATTTAAAAGTGTTCACTATACCGAGATATTTATTTTAGAGATAGTTTATATATGCTATTCAGTGACATGAAACAAATCTGTAAATATATTTGGTTGTTCCAGAATCATGATTAAGAATCTACTCATCTATTTTGATTGAGATATTTTCAATTTTAACTCAAATTTATTTTCTTTCAACAATCATCTAATGTTGTTTGTCTTTTAGGTTTCGAAATTAATATGATTTATAAAATAATTCTATCGATTTTTCTTGCCGAATAAGCTCGTACAATGATGTGATTATTTTTCTATATGTAGTAGTTCAATTACGCATAACATATATTTACTTCTGATACATAAGAAATAAGCGAGAGAGTAAAAGTCAACAAAGACATATTGCATTTGTGTTCATATGAAAGTTTATAGTAGCAAGGAAGATCGTAAGGAAGTGTTTATAGTTCAGAATAGAGCAATGCAAAAGTAGCAAAAAAAACCCACCTCTCTTACTTCAGAGTGTTCATAATTTTAGAAGATATTCAACTATTATAAAAAAGAGTTTTAGATGAAAAAACTGTTGTTGTTTTATATGAAAAAATCAATATGAATTTCTTTTTTCGAAAATCTAATTGAATATCTCTTTAAAACAAACAAATTTGATCTGAAAAGATTTGGATGGTTGTTTAGATGTCGAAATATATTTAAATCATTTTTTTTCAGTGTAAAACAAAAGTCTTTTGAGAATATTATTTTTTGTCAAACACCATCTAACATGAGTGTTTAAGTATATAGAGTACAAATTTGCACAAGGGGGAAAAGCGGCTCCTGGGAGATTCTACGGATTCTGCAGGCTTCTTTTGAGTTCTAGCGGCTCCTGATGGATCCTGGCGGCATCTACCAGAAGCCGCCAGGATCCATCAGGAGCCGGTATAATCGAAAAGAAGTTGCTAGGAGCCGGTAGAATCTCCTCGGAAGCCAAGGGTTTCAGGAGCCGCTTTTCCCCCCTTGAATGTGCATATATTCTCCTCTCCCTTCAAACCATGACAGATACATTAGAAAAGACTGTTCCTCGTATCATAGACTGTGACAGACCTTGTTATTACGCGATCAAGAACTATATATAAATAGAATTTTGTTAGACTATTTGCACTACTAGTTTATTACATTTCTCGAGGGCTGAATAAAAAGGATTTTGAAGAAATGTGTCCCAAAATAGATAGAAAAAGCAATATTTATGTGATTAGCAATGGGGGTGATCCTTTATCTTCGAAAAATAAAGAAATAAAGGGTTCTTTTTGTTGAGCAATAATGTGATTGGAAATGTTCTAGGACCACAGAACTAATATTCAAAAATATTTTTATCATTAAAACTATGTATTTTGATTGAAAATAAGCTTGTTAAGAAGTAACACGAATTCGTGATGTTTAACTACAAAAATGGTAATTGAATCAAAACTAATATCATATTCTGAATCAGCATGAAAAATGGAGTCGACACATGTATATTTCAAATATTTTTTGAAACACCTTTCTTCCATCGAAAAATTCACCCGTGCTCCCCCTCAGGGTAGTTGGGTCAAAAAATGAATTTTACCAAAAAGCAGTTTTAGCAATGACAAATGAGTTTTAACGTTGTAAAAGATACTAGAACACGAAATAAAGGATTTTTAAATGATGAAAACAGCATTGTCGTGGAAATAGTTTTTTTTTACCCTGAGGGGGAGTACAGGTGAATTTTTCGATGGAAAAAAAGTGTCTCAAAAATATTTGAAATACACATATCGACTCCGCTTTTTCATGCTAATTCAGAATATGATATTAGTTTTAATCCACTTGTCATTTTTTTAGCTAAATATCAGAAAAAAAATACAAATTCAACTAACTTGTTTTCAATCAAATGATAAAAAGCTTTCTGAATATAAGTTCTCTGATCCTAGAATATTTCCAATGACATTCTCGTTCAAGAAAAAAAGCCCTTTATTTCTTTACTTTATCTTTATTTTTCAAAGTAACACTAAAGTATCACCCCTAATTAACCGCAATAGCTACATCGCGTGAATGTGTGTGAAGAAAACACTTCTATACACTTCAGTGTTGGGTGGGTGTCACTGTTGTTCTATGATTCAAGGAATGGAGAATGCACAACATTCATATAAAAAGAGAAATAAATATGTATAAGAAACTATATATAGAAACAATGTAGTATGAAATACGTTATCGTTTCATGAGAACGAAAACGCTAACAGTCCCTACTGCATATCTACCCTTAAGATCAGTCCTAAAGTATCATTATAATATAAATGAAGACACGCGATATTCTACTATTATAAAACCACCAAAGTTTCTGTTCATATTCATGTTTCATACTAATTTAATATTCTTTCATTATGAATAAAATCTAAACAAGATTTATTTTACTAGAGACTTGTCCTGAATTAACAGATCAAGATAAAATACATGCAAAAATATTTTCTCGTATTATTTCAATGACTGTTCAGCTCAAATTTATTTTTGTTAAAAAATTAGAATGACTTTTATATATCGTTCGATATGTAAGTATTGATTTTATTTCGAGTTCTCAAACATATTTTTATATTTCATCATTCTTGTTGAAGTTTAATCTTGTATTGAAATCAATCAATACGACAAGAAAATCTTGGAAAATTCGTTTACCGTTATCTATTTGAACCTCTCAATAATCAAATGAGTACGCAGGAAAAACTTGCGCTGTAAGAGATATTGTTACATTCTATATTATTAGTAGATTTTCTTAAATAAGAATATTTATCAGATAATTGGAAAAATAATTTGATTTAGACATTGATTCTGTGAGCTCTAATTGATTTTTTTTTGCTTTGGGTTTTTAAATATTGGTTTATCTCACAACAATCGAAATAATAAAGCATTATATAAGTAGGAAATAAAATATTATTAAAGGAATAGTGCTCAAAGTCAAAGATATTTAACACCGAGTTTTATACGAAATCATCATTACATCAGAAATAAAACTCAGGAATAGAACTGATCATTCATATGATGACAATATGCTATTCACTTAGAAAAATTTTAGCACTAGAATGATTCATTTCTTTCTAAATAGTAGCCACGTAACGTATCAGAACTCTGACTCGATGCTTGGGGCGAGCAGTTTGTATTCAAGTAATTCTGAATATTGCTGACTTTTCTTTTAGTATGCTTTCAAACTCTCAGGTTTTGGATCATTTATTCCTTTGTTTTTATATCTATAATAGTTAGAACTGAAATCCTTTCTTTAATTAATTAATTGAAAATTATTTCAATCAAGACCAAATACGAATTTGAACATTTGAATTCCATTCATGTTTAATGAATATTTTTAACTAGAAAAACATTATAATCTAACAAAACTTATTTATTCAATCTTGTAGAGACCTTTTTGTTGATCATTAAGGTGAAAGATAAGTTTTAAATTTGATCGATACATGACTAAACCAAAGTCAAAATAATCATAAACGTTTTAACAATACTAATCAAAGCCATTTGACATTTTCATTATTTTGATTTTACTATCGTTGTTTATTGATTAAATTTAAAACATGTTTTTTACCTTAATAACCAACAAGAAGGGGTCCTACAAGATCGAATAGATAAGTTTTGTGCGAGCATTATGTTTTTGTGGTTGATTAGGCAAAAACTGATAAATAATTCGAACCCGAATATTTTTAAAACTTTTCCAATTGGGTAACACATTCTTATTTTATCAATGATTTTTTATATTCTTTAATTTTATTTTTAAAGAGCATGTGTCTCAAATAATAATTCACGGCTAAATGTCTTCGAGCTGCATCCTACTAAAAAATCTCATTTTCTACCAAGTAGATAATAAGATAAATTAAAATAGTTTTATATAGTTCAATGAAATAATTTTCTCATGTCATTTTTAAGCTTTTGATGACTTGCGAACAAATGCATTAAGTACTGTTCGCTATGCTGAATTTTGTATTTCAAGTTGTAGCTTTGGCTACAGTGAATCAATTCATATTGGTGAAAATCTTGTACCACTTCTTAGTACTTTTATGCCTCATTTACAAACTTTACGTCTTTGGAGACCAGATGATTTTCCTTGGACGTCAAGTAAGTTTGTTTTTTAACAAGACATGATTAATCTTAATTAACTATTAAAGAGAAAGAATTTTGTTTTTAATTTTATTTCTGAATATCATAGGACATTTGAATAATTAAATTAATATTTTTATAACAAAGCAAAATTTAACATCAACGAAAAGAAAAACGTTTTTTTAAATTGATCAAAACAAGTTTCTTTTCCTTTCAATATTCGTAAATTCTAAATTAATTCTATTTAATTTTATTTTTATCTGATAAAAGACTTATCAGTTTATTGTATAATAAACGAAATACGGGAAATGAAATCACTTCAAGAAAAAATCTATTGCTCTTCAATGATGAATAATTAGCACAATGTTCAATTTTCATTATTTCTTTGCTTCAAATAGATATTCTACTGTTTAATTGTTTTGTTGTTCAACTGATGATCAAAGAGTGAGACATGTTGCAGGGCTTGATCTTCACTTGTTGCTACTAAAATACAAAGTAACTTTTTCAGATTGGACGAGTACCAATAGTATAGCCAAGAAAATATTTAGAGACTCTCCACAGAGTTTTACGCTTCTTGAACTTTGGGTGAATGATAAATGGTTTAAATGAAACGATTGTCCTACCAATGTGACGTGAGCACTGATATGAAATTTATTCCACATTGAAGAAGATTTTTATATTAAAGTGGAAGCCAGCTAACGTAAATTGTGGTACAAAATCTGTGTTGACTTTTCCAAGAGACAATCTTCAACAAAAAGCACATACTTTGATGATATTTGTTTTTCAATTCGAATAGATATGACATTGTTATCTCAATATTTTTGAAATTTCTCAATCATCTTTCGTCTAACGAAACAGTCGACATTTCGCATAGTTTGATATAACAATGTCAGATCGTCTCGAATCGAAAAACAAATATCACCATTCGACTCAACACGGTAAATTAACCATATATAGCTGTTTTTTTTCGAATGATGACAAGTCATTTTGGCTTAGATAGGAGATCTCAGAAAGAGTCTTATAATCCTCGAATGAAACAAGGTAGGAAGGTCAACCTTGTGTAGATCGAAAGAGAAGAAATTTTTCTATCGGATAGTTCTATCAAAAGTTAATGAAAAAATAGTGAAGCACATTTTATTTTGAAATGAACAGTAGAAGTAATTGCCTCTGACAGAAATACAAAATAGAATGCATGAACTTTCTAGCAGAAATGAATTATTGTGATTGAAGAACACTCTTGTATCGATAAAATACCTTATTCAACATATTTTACCAGAAAAAAAAACAGCCTAGTCCTCCGTACATATCTGGATGCACTATGATTAAAGATCGGCAAATATCCAAAATACTACAACAAAATTTCGACGAAACAACGAGTTTTTTTTCGGGATGTGAGGAATGGCTTCTGCGGAGCTCCTGCTAATTGTACTCTATGATTTTACATTCAGTCGATCATTGTCATTTATATTTCTAAACCATACATATACAAATACACAAAAAAAGAACTGTGTCAGACAAAAAACAAACTCAACAACTATACCACCGGAAAATAAAAATAAAGAAAATTATTAAAAAAAATGAAAATAATATTTTATACAAATACATCTACGAATCATTGAACCTGAGATTTTAATCAGAAACATAAGTAGCTGAACCACAATTTTGCTCAAGATATAATTCTAATTGTTCATGTATAAGTGAATTTGGATTTGCATTCCATTCATATATATCTGATGTTTGATATAATCGTGCTATTTTTTCTCGTACTTTTATTGATGTTATTTGATGATTTTCTTCATTATTAATAAGTATAATAAAACATTTAAGTGTTGAACATGTTGATAAAATTTTCATATAATCATGTATTAAATTATACGGTTTACGTAAAATTAATATTGTTACACATGAATTTTCTATTAACCAATCAAGTTCACCTAACATTCTATCACGATGTATAAAATAAAAACTAAAACGTTTTCCATACATATATTCAATTCTTTTACCAATATATTCATGTATATATTCACTATCATTTATTGAATAAAGTACTAGAACATCAAGTTTTATTTGTAAACATGAACGTGTTGTTGCTAATGATGAAGAATTTCGAGTTTTCATTGATTGTATTGTTATTGATGTTGATATTGTTGATGAATGTGATGCAGGACGATTTACAAGAATTTGTCGTGGAGGTGGAAGTGGTGGAACAATTGTTTGAAAACGATTACTAGAACTTGAATCTGTTTGAGATATTGTTAATGGAATTGATGCATAATCATCTTCATCAGTATAAGAAAGTGAATTATCAATTTCTTGATGATTATATACTTTATGAGAATTTAAAGCTAAATTAAACAAAATTTAATTTAAAAAATAAAACGATTTATGAAAATTTGACTCTTTTTTTTTCTTTTACCTTTTGTATGACAATGATTTACTTCTTTTTTTATATCACCATTAGATAAATACCTTTGTTTGAAAAACAATAGACGTTTTTTACGATAAATATATAATGTTAAAATACATATTAATATGAATATAAGTAAAATAAAACTAATAAGAATATATTTTAAATGAAATCCTATTTTCAACAAATGATTTGATGTTGTTGAATTAATATCATGTGCAAGAACTTTGCTATTCATATTAAGTATTGTTGTTTGACATGATTCTGTATTTGAATAATTACAACAGTCTGTAGCTGTAAGTGGTCGTTCAATAAGAAATGATGAAAATATTATTGATCTATTACACGATAAACCATTCGCATATGTTAAAAGATTTAAACGTATATTCGATTGTAATTCTCTATTGCCATTATAAAATTTTGGTATCCATAAATTATTATGTAAATAAAGTTTCTTAAGATTGACCATGTTAGAAAATGTTTTTGATTCAATATTTTGAATATGATTTGTTGATAAATCTAAATGTTCCATATTAATCATTGTAGAAAAATCATTATTTGATAAATATTCTAAATAATTATTTGCTAATGTAAGATATTTTAAATTATTTAAATATGTTAAATTATTTTCAATTAATTTTATTTTATTATGATTTAAATAAAGATGTGTGGTAGAATATGGAATATTTAATGGAATTTTATTTAATTGACGATTAGAACAATTAACATAATTATTTGTTAAATCATATGAATGTTTACATGAACATTCATTTGGACAATTTAAATAACAATCACAATTATTTGTTGAGAATGATGTTGAACAACATAAACATGTTGATGGACAAGATTTTGTATATGAACAAAAACTATTTGATGAATTGATATCAAAGAAAGATCGATGAATTGATGATTCAATCATATCGATACATTTTAAATTAGAAAGATATAAGAATTTAACACGAGTTTGTTTAGCAAAAGCATTAGACGAAAAGATTTTTTGTACAAGATTATATTGACGACGAGATCGAATATAATGATTAGAATGAGATGGATAAAAACCTGCTGGCGGTGTTTGTTGATATAATGGAGACACTAAAAATGAAAGATCAGTATTTTGACTATACAAATCTAACGACAAAAGTTGTCCTAACAATTCAATTTTTCTTTTGTTCGTCTCTACTATTTTAGGTAAATTGAGATTTCATTTAATAATCATATATCAAAAAATGGAATGAAAAGCTGATGAGACGTCTTAGAGATAAACATAGCTTAGTTCGATTTTTCAAAGACATGAGAGTGTGAGTGTGTGGTGTCAGCATGGAATTTTCAGTGTTATCTTCACACCTACATCTACATCCTCACTCTTAGCAGAATCACATAATGAGATCTGGAACGTTTTTTAGTGATATGCATTTCTTCGCCTCTTTTTCTTTCAGCTTAATTGATACATACGATTAGTAATAAGTGTTGAGTTCTATATCGAGATAGCTGAAACTCACTTAAGTATCGGGCAGAGCCTATGACATTCTGTATGATGAAAACAAGTGTTAATATGTTCTTATCATCATGGAAATATATCAACAAAGAATGGAGACGTATAAGACACTGAATTTGGGAGCCACTATTTTCAGTCATTTGATTACTGAACTGACGCAGAAAAATGAGGCTAATTTTTCGCTAATAAATTTAAGTGAAATTCTGGAAATTACGGATCACTGTAAGAGTAGAATACCTGCAAAATAGTATTGCATTTTCATTGGAGGCCTATTAGTTTGATATTAGTCCAAAATGTAGAATCTTTGGACAATAGTCCAAAATCGATCAAAACTGGTTAGAAAGAGTATTTTATTATGGATTGTTTCATCTAAGAACTACTATTGGTTCACTATTATTTGATTAAAAAACAATGGTTAAAATTGTTTGACATATTTCTCCATGTCAGCTGCTCTCTTTTATATATCATTCGATGCTAAGTTAGTCTAAGGTACCTAGAGTGTGTCCGTAATGTTTGGAAGTATGAAAAGTATACTTTTTCACTCAGCGCTAAGCAAATTTTATAAGAACAAGTCGACTTTTGATTTAAAAAATGAAAGAGTATATTTTCAAATGAGAATGAAAAATTGAGCTGGGGTCCTCTTACAGGATTAGGTCTAAAAATTAATTTGATCAAAATCACTGTTGAACTGTAAAAAGGCATATTCTACACTTTTCAAAGGTAATGCAATCAAAAAGAACGATAGATTGATTATTAAAACGATCTTTTAATTAATTTTGTTTTTTTTTGACCTAATCCTATGAACAATCCCAGTTAACTTTTTTAACAAAAATAAAAGTGCTCGGACGATATTTACAAGTATATGGGTCGATTCAGTTTTTCATACGAACTTCAAATATGCCATTTTTTTCAAAACAGAAATTGAGTTGTTCTCAAAAAATGTCCTGATAATTAAATGAAAAGGCGCACTTTTTGCATCTCACGTACATCACGTGTATGTACACTTTAGGTACCTTGAATCAATCCAGAATCGAATGACATATATAAAGAAGAACGTCTCGCATGGAGAAATATGTCAAACAACTCTTATCATTGTGTAGTTGTAGGCTATAGAACCATGCTAGATAGAATAATACTATATCTCATTATAGGTCTTTTTAATAAAATAATCGTGAAATAATAGTAGTCCTTACACGGAACAATGCATAATTTAAATGTTCTTTGTAACCAGTATAAATTGAGTTTGGATCATACTATCCATCCCTACAGTGATTTGTAATTTCGAGAATTTCACTTAAATTTATTACCAAAAACTTCACTTCATGAAAGTGGCTCAAAACATTATATGTTTCAAGCTCAATGTCTTATACGTCCATAGCTTTTGAAGAGATGTTGTTTTGCAATAAAACTATCTCCACTGTATTTCATACTTTAGTCTTACATGGTTTACATTAAGTTTTTTTTTCATTTAAATATGCATGTGCTGAGTTCAGAGTACTCTGTTACTGGTATGTCATAAAAACCTTTGGATACTTCAATAGCTTAGAGTGCTTTATGAGTGTTTTAGCAAGTGACTATAAAATGCTTCTAAATGTTTATTCTACTAACATATAGAAAAATTTTCATATAATAATTCCTATAGAAACTGGGCGAGAGTATCTGGTAAATACCAAAGTATTGAGACAATTCTCAGCAGTGTGTTCAATCATGATCTTGTGACATACTAATAATAGGATACCCTATAAGATATCTCTAGTGACAATTGATCTAGTACACAGTTACCTTGAATTCAATCCATTCATTAGAAAGGTATCTCGACATTCTTTAGTCAAATCAATCTATACTAATTGGATATCTTTTATTGATTGTACTTACAATTTAAAGTAGTTTGTTTTTGATATGATGCATTATTTTGATATAAATTCAAAATACTTTCATATAAGTTACAATCACACTCTAATGGATTATTACTAATATCTAATTCAATAAATGGTCCACGACGTTTTGTATCATTTAATAATATTGATGGAAATTTTAATGTTTTTAAACGATTATAATTCATATTAAGTGATAGAATATATTTATCTTGTGTTGATGATGATGAAAATATTTCGAAATCAATTTTTTCGAAAATATTTTTCGAAAGATCAACATATAGAACAGGTAAATGATGATCATAACTTTCAATACTATGTGCATCATATGGTGTAGGTAAATGTGGAAATGTATCTAAATAATTTCCTGAAATATTTAAATGTCTAAGTTTTTGTAATGGTAAAAATAAATCATCAAAAGATAATGTTGGTAACGAATAACTTAAATCAAGTATTTCTAAATAAGGTATACGTGAAAATGTATCTTGTTGTATTTCTAATGGTGAATTATAACTTAAATTTAATATATTTAATGAATATAATGATTTAAATGAATAATAATCTAAAGATTTAATTTGATTTTTTGATAAATCTAAATAACGTATTGTTGATGGAAATTTATTTGATATAAATGTTAATTGATTATTTGATAATATCATTGTTGTTAAATCTGGAATATTTATTTGAGAGAATATATTATTTAATTGTTCATCATTTAATTTTGTATGACATAAATTAAGATAGGAAAGATGTGGAAATGAACCACTTAAATTATAATCTTCTGTATATGTTACAGTTAAATGTGTTAATGATATTAAGGAATTTAATTCAAATGGTTTAATTAAAAATTTAATTGAATGAAAAATTAATATTTTTGTTGAAATTAAATTTAAATGCATTATATTGAAAGTTGTATTATAAAAAATTAATTTTTCCGATAAATAATTATGATTTTCAATAAATGAATTCATAAAACGTAATGATGAAATTCTTAATAAACATTTTGGTATTTGATTTGATGAAAAATTAAATATTAAATTAAAAAATGTTAATTGAGAAAAATTTTTAAAGAAACATAATTGCTCATAATTTCTTATGTCATGATTAAAATTATGAAATTCAATTTGTTTTTCGAATTGAAAAGATATTGGAGTTATTTCATTAAGTTTTGAACGTAATAATTCTTCATTTGAGTTATTCACACAAGTTAGTGATGATGTTAATGAGCAAAGATTTGAAGTTAAATAAATTGATGGTGATGATAAACATTTACATATATCACATTTTAATATATGTTCATTTGAATCGATATATTGACATGGATATAAAAGTGTCGTTATGATCGTAAAAAGGTGAAAATAAATATAAAGCTGAATATAGTTCATTCTAGAAATATAAAGTTATTGGATAAAAGTTTTATGATGATTGCATTTCGATTGTCTTTTTTCTTTTGCTCGATATGTAAAGAAATGATAAGGATTCTTTTTTTTCCCTCTGTATTCGATTGCATAAACAAGAGAACTATGTAATAAACATAGAATTTTTGCATATGTGATGATGAACAAATACCTTTAATTCAGAATTTATAGGGAACAAATGTCTAATGAACCGAAAAATTGTCTCGAGCATCTATTACTCACTCTAATATATATATATATATATATTTATTTCTATAAGTGAGACAGAGTGAGTTGATAGATTGAAGATTGATTAATAGAGCGAATATTATATCAATGAACAATGAACCTCTAAAAGAGAACCCTAATTTATAAAATGAGTAAGCGAATGGGAGGGAACGAAAGAAACAGAGAGAAAATATCTGATGTATCCACAGTTAGTTTATTGACTCAACTAAATGAGAAGGACTGTTCAGCCATGGGCCAGAAAAAGGAGAGACAGAAAGAATAATACATGGCATCACGTCTCCCTTTTTTCTCTCCGTTATATATATATCAAACATATGGGAGCAGACAATTGTATATGTATATTATTCTCTGGGCGCTATTTTATAGAAAAATAATGACTGTGTCAATCAGCAAAAGAAAAAAAAATCTATATAATGGGATACGATAAACAACCAACTTTTCGTTTTAACTACTCAATAAAGATACGAATGATGATAATAACAAGTCTTTCTCTATTAAGCGAAATATGACGTATCAATCTGTCGCACAAATAACTTTTTTTTCTTTAAATATTAAAGAGGTCTTAGTATAAATAGTTCAATCATGCATTACTAATTGCATTAGTTTGTCTCGTTTGACATTGTATTTCATATTATTTAAAATATTAAATGAAGTGAAAACAAACTGTAAACATGAGATTACTTCACAAGTTTGAATACAATTCATATGAACAGAGAAAAAAAAACGAAGAGTAACAGCAACCTGAACGGTATCAAGGTTATTGCATACATGAATAATATATTTATGGCGAGCATATGCATAAAAAATGTTACGTAAAATCTAGTACTATCGTCATTCGTTGAGAGAGAGTAAGTATGTTTATCTCTTCAACTGATGGTTATAGAGTAGTACTGTTGTCGTAATAGGTAAATGAAAGATTAGGATAGCATACATATATATGAGTTACGATGAAAAGTCAAAGTCAATTGTATATTTGAACTCTCTGTCTTAAAGAGATCAACCATCATACAAATAAAGAGAAAGAAATGATGAAACACCTGTAGACATGTTTGACATTGAGACTACTTATTGCATAGGCAGCAAAATCTCTTTCGCTTTTTTTCTTCGACGTCTCAAAATATAATATGACACTCAAGGAAAAATATCAACTACAACTCCCTTTAGACTTATCTAGATATTTGAAGTCAATAAATATATATGAAAAGAAAAAAACGGCGAACAAGCAATCACTTATTCACATATTTTCAAGGTCTATTTGTTAAAACTGTAGAAATAAAAAGTAGATATTCGATCTAATGAGAATATTATTCGAAACGCAAGTGAGTATATTATAATTGTTCGATGGGAGAGAATGAAAGATACTCTTCAGACATATTTAAAAAGCACTTACGAGATTCGTTGCTTTCTTCGAAAGAAGAATAGACGAATTGACGATACTAATTTGTTAAAAGATGTTTACAATAGGTGTTGATATGGAATGAACGTTAAAGCAGGTGTATGAGAAATACTGTAAATGAACACTATAAACAATTGATTTAATGCCGACATCGCTTCGTTGGCCACATTTAATGCTCAGTACTTTACCTTTTTTTTTATTTTTTATTCTCTCTCGCTCTCTTTTTCCTTTTACTGAATTTAACCTATTAAAATAGGTTCTTTTTTCCGTGTCTTATCGTTTCTAGTGTGTATATAAACAGTGAACAAAGCAAGGAAATAAGAGAGAACAACGTTAAAATATGTCATTAGTTTAATTCAAGGTTCTCTTTTTTTTCGATAAGTACATTGCTTATGTTAAATAATTTATGAAATACTTGTTCACTCATGTACATCTGTAAAAAATCAAATGAAACAAAAAAAAAAAAAAGAAAGAAAGTCGAGGACATAGAGCAGTCTCTTTAATGATGACATAAATAACAATAAAGATGGACATTTTTTTTTTTCACAAGAATGTGGATAATGTGCATTTTACGTCTTGTTCTTTTTCTATTATTCTTAAATGCAAGGTTACTTCCGTTATTCTGTCGCTATCGATCGTCAATTGGTACTTAAAAAGAGAAAAAAAAATCCCCAATTGATTATATATCTTATAAGGGGGTCATTGAATTGGTGAACTATTTGTTGCATCATTCATACCGTTCAATTTGTTCTTTCTTCTTTCTTTCATATAAATGATCAAACTTGACAAGCAAATATAAATGAATATATATATATATATATTTCAGATAGGTCATGAAATTAGTTGATGGCATAGATAAGAATTTAAAATAAATAACTCATATCTTGATTGTTTTTAGACAATATAGTTTCCTTTTTTTTTCTTCTTTTCTTTTTGTTTATATAAAAAGATGAGAAATGATTGAATATACGTAAGATGAATGAAGTGATAGATTGAGTGATTCAAATCACTACATTTTTAACACTTGAATATATGAAAACAGACAAAAAATAAAAAGAAGAGAAAATCTAGTTTAATGGCTTCATGTTGCTATCGTTTAATGTATGCGTGTAAGTTGCATAATACGATCAATTTATCAGAATTTAAAATTGTACATAGCAACATAAAAATACATTTTTATGAAATTTGGCCAATTTAATCTGTTGCGTGTACATTTATTCTCTTGTCGAATTTGATTATTTTAGAAACATTTTACATAAATGTGAAGAAACTACTGTTCTATACATAAAGAAAAAAGAGCATCTATGTAATATGATCGATGGACAACTGACAAAAAAGAGATAAGATGTTTTCGGATCATCAACTATCATAGTAAAAAGAAAAAAAGGAGGAGTAACAGAGATGAAATCACAATTAAACAAATTTTTTTATCAATGGATTCCAATGAAGAATCATACGAAAAGACATTTTTACCAAATCCATATATTGTTCGACCACGAACATTACTTCGATCACCGTTATATCCAATAAAAGAAAATCGAGATATTTATATTAAAGATGGTTCTTTAACAGGATTAGATTATTTATCTAATATACGAAATTATTTATGGAATCGAGAAACAAAACGTTTTTGTGCTCGAGATGGTCTTGAATGGGCAAAACTTGGTTGTTGTTATTTTATTTATTTATTTACATTGGGTATTCTTTTTTCTGCACTTGTTATTGTCTATATGTTATTGCTTGATAAAAAAACACCGAGAAGACTTGGTAATGATAGTGCAATAGCATTTGATAATGGAATTAATCCAGGTAATCGAATTTTTCGAATTTATATATATTACTGTAAAAAAAAAATGAAAGAATTACATTCCTCACAGCGCTGAATATATATCATGCAAGACAACATTATAGAAAAATGCATAAGAAGTTCAATCGATGTCTACAGTTTTGTCGAATAATGCAAGAATTCTAGAGTTAGATTTTCAATTCGGAATTCTTGACGTTTTTATTATTTACAATTGAACAACGATTATTTAGAACATAAGAATAGATATACTTTTCTTTTAAAGAGAAATACTTCAACATGACAATTTTATTCAAATGTGCGTGGTTGCTGATGTTCAATATGATTGAGTTAGGATTACAGATATTCGATCGAGTAGTTTTTGATTCTCAAAATTATTCAGATAATCAGTGAATATTATCATTCGTTACATAAAAAGTTAATAGTCTTCTGCTGGGTTTCACTGTTTTAATAAACTAAAAGATTTTCTTTCTCGGAGCAGATAAAATGTTTATCAAACATTTCAGTGATATATTTTGTGTTTTATTCAAGTAAATAAATATTACTATAAGAATAATGACATAGAGGTAAACATATTGTTTTGTTCACAGAAAAAAAAATACGAATGCTCTAGCGTGAACACAAATAATCTTAAATCTGCTTACATCTCGCTCGTGTGAACTTACGAAAAGTGGTATACTATTTATTTTGATTATAATTATATGTTTGAATCTTTTTGTACGAAAAATGAAAACGAAAATTCATCTCATTGTATTGAATGTTGAAAGAAAAAAAACATCAATCATATTTTTTAGGTCTTGGTTTTCGACCACAACTTCATATGGATCGGTCACTTCTAAAATGGCGTAGTTCACGTAAAGTAGGTCATGAATCAACTGGTGAACTGATTGAAAATATACTAGAATGGGGTAAAATTCATACTGTTAAAGATCAATTTCATCAACAAATGATCGATTGTGCAGCAATACCACGTCATTTATTAATAAATTATTTTCGTCAAGGGCTTTCATGTATATTTTTAGTAACTGATGTTAAACCAGGTCCAAATCCATGTACTAAACCAAAAAGTTTTGGTTATCATAAAGGTCGTCCATGTATTGCTATTAAGATAAATCGAATATTTGGTTGGATACCTGAACCTTATCAATCAAAAGAAGAAGTACCAATTGAAATTCGTCATTTATGGCAACCAGTTATGAAAAATTTTATATTAATTAAATGTTTTGGACAATATCCAACAGATGAAGATCTTGTTCATGAAGTTGATCATATATCAATATTAGGTAATAAAGCAATTGGTGGTATACCAACATATTTTTATCCATTTTTAAATCAACCTGGTTATCGACAACCATATATATGGGCACAATTTATTAAAATCGAATCAAATGTTTTATTAAATATTGTATGTCGTGCATATGCAAGAAATATTCGTCAAAGTACAGATATTGAAGATATGACTGGTGCTGTACATTTTGAACTCTTTTTTGAATAGTATGACTGTTTTATTGATGAAAAAAAAAGAAAGAAAGAGAGAGAACACAATTTATACACAAAAAACAACAAGTCGAGAATAAACAAATTAAAATTTGAATTGTTTATTTTTTTTAGCTGCACTACCGCCACTAGCGTCTTTAGTATTTGTATCTGTTTGTTTACTTTTACGTTTCTAAAGAAAAAAAAAAAACAAATAATTAAAGAATTTCTTTTTGTTGGTTTTTTTTTCTGAAATTAAAAACAAACCTTATTTTGTTTATTTAAATGATCTGATATCATATCACTAAGATCTTCTTTAGCTAATTCTTTATCTTTTAATTCTTGTCGATAACGTGCTTCAAGTGCTTGACTATTCATATCAAGTTCATCAGGATTAAGCGCAATATCAACACCACCAGATGTTTCACTTCGACTTGTAGATGATTGACCCATTTGATCTTTTCGAATAGCTTGAAAATCATAGACACGATTTGTTGATAATAAAGATGATTGTCCAACACCAACAGTTTTTTCAGGTAAAACTGTATAAAGTGCTGGTGTTGCATCACCATCCATTTCAGCATGAAAACGAGATTTACGTAATTCGAACTAAATTAATAAAATTAATTCATTTAAATAGAAAATATTAAATAGGAATACATAATGTTCATGTATTTAACAGTTATTAATTTCAATCGAAAGATATTTAAGAATAGGTCTTATCAGTAAAATAGAAGAATCTCCACAACTAGATTATCGAAAATAATGGAACTCATATTCGAGATAAAAATTTCAGCTCGATTGAACAAACTAAGACCAAAATTGTTAAGCAGATTCAATGATTTTTGTAATTAGACATTCAATTTTCTCAATTGCATTTCGAATATATAAACAGGACATTTATTCTCTTTATATATCTAACTGTTTCACAAAAGAAAAACATGAAGAATTCAATTAATCTATAAAGCTGATGCCAATTCTTCAACGAGGGAACTAATAACATTGGATAACTTTCTTCATTCAAATACTTAGACTATTGATTAACTATGAAACTAGACTGAAGTAATGTCATCGGTACAATGTGCTTATATATTCATCAGTAAACAATATTGATTAGTTCGATCAGATATGGTTCTTCACCGAAACTTCGATGCACTCTATTCTCTACATTCGTGTTTTGTTTGTTTTTCATATGGCTTATAATCCATTACTATTTTTTCATGAGCTGCCAATCGTAGAGGCTTAACCATCAGTCTTTACTACACTTCGCTAAAACTTGCATATATGACGAACAGGCACTCGATGGTTATTTTCTACTAGAACAAATGTCACCCAACATGCAGAAGTTTCTATGACAGAAAGAGAAAACACGATTTCGCTGTCTGCATAGATCAAAACAATTGGTTCCACACATGGATGTCATCTCATAAGAGAATAGACTCAACTGTAACATTCGATGAAAAAGACGTTTCATGCTTTGTAAAATTGCCAAAACGTTCTAATCTATTTTTGTTTGTTTTTTCTTTTTCTACCGCTCTGTCTATTCCTATCCTGTCAATTTGTATAACTAACATAACGTCCTGTTAGGACCGGAATGGTGCGAGGGCAATAATAAAAGTCTTTTGTCAAAAATAAAAACTAAATGTTAATATCATTACCTGCTGTGGTGTTTCTGTGCCAAGTATTGATGATTGTGTGCCTAAAAAATAAATAAATAAAACTCCTTTCGGAAACAAAAGAAAAGAATTAACTAACCACTTGGTGTAACAAAACCTTCACTTCCATGTGGTGTTTGAAATCCAGCTGGATGTATATTTTGTTCTTGTTCCGATGCAGCATAATGATGATGATGTACATGATGATGAGCATGTTCAGCAGCTGTTGGTGCAGCTAGTTGTCCTTCTGTTGTTGATTCACCATCAAGAGCTGTATCTTCTGTTGTTTCTTCTTCATCAGATGAACTAACTGCTTCTTGTTCTTGTTCTTCTTCTTCAATTTCTCCCCAATAATTTTTATCAATATGTTCTTCTTCAGTCATACTACGAATATAAGCAAATTGATTTGTACCAAATACATCACCATATAATGGTCGACCATGTTCATCAACAGGTGGTTTACCCCAACCACCACTATGATAACCAAATTGACAACCTTCTGGAATAGGTGCATTTAAGCCTGGAATTTTTAAATTCGGATAACTTGGTGGTGGTCCATAACGTTGCATAGCAATTAACCATGGTGGTGGATATTTATCAGCTGTTGGCCCAACAGGTATACCAAGTGCAACACGTAGTTCTTCACTTAGAACACCTGGTTTTTTATCTTTTAAACGTGTTTCATTTTCTTTTCCTTCATAATATAAATCACCATGTATAGACATTCGTGGTTTTGTTTGCCAACGAAAAAAAGCATCATGTAATTTTTGATAATCAATATCAATTTTTCCTAATTTAGGGCGAACTTTTTCTCTCATTTTTTGTTTTAATGTTTTATTTTGTTCTTTTTCTTGTAATGCTTCACGCATTTCCATAATACCCGTACGACGTATAAAATCTGGTAATTGAAATGGTGGTTTTTCTATACCGCGTTTACCTTGTAAATATTTACGTTTAGCACACCAATGACGTGGCACAGGTACTGTATTACGTGTAGCCTAGAAAAAAAGAAATTGTTGTTTTTATTTGTGATTGATAATTTTAGAAAAAGAAAAAAACTTTACTTTAAGATGAACAAGTAATTTTGGATCTTTAGCTGTAACATCAAACATTTCAACAACATCAGGTCGTATAACAAGTTGTTTTAATTGTGCAACACTAAGACGTGTTTCCCGTTTCGTTTGTTTTTTAGATTTTTTTTTATTTTGCTCTTCATCATCTAAATCTTTTTTCTTTTTATCATAATTAATTGTTTCTTTTTCATCATCATCATCATCATTTTCTTCCAAATTTGTTTTATCACGTGGTAAAAGTGTTTTAGGTGTAAGAACTTTTTTACCATATTTATTAATATAATATTCATTATTATCATCATTATTTTGATCTAATTTAAAATTTTCAAAAACTTTAACAAAATGTGAATAATAACCATCTCCACGTTTTATCGGAAGATCTTCAGGAACATAATCAATTTCAACTTTTGTTGTATTATCATCATCATCTCTGTCATCATCATCGTCATCATCATCATCATCAGATGCAGGTTTTTTCTTCTTTTTTTTGTCATGTGGTTTATTATTTTCTTTTGGAGATGGATCGGATGATGGTGCTGTTATTGATGAAGGAGTAGTGGGTTTATTCTTCTTTTTAGCACGACGACGACGACGTCGTTTTTCAATTTCTTTTTTAGCTTTTCGTGATAAATCATTTTGAGATGTTACTTCTTCATCAGATTCATCATCATAATCATCGTTTTGTTCAATACCAGAATCAGTTTGATGACCACCACTATGTAATTTTGTAACACGATCTTCTTCATGCTGATTATCGCGAAATTTTAAGACACGTTCCATTGTTGATGGAAGACGAACATCATCCTATATAAAAATAAAAGTTTTATTGCTTTTTTTTTCTGTTAACTAGGGAAAGAAACTAACTCTATTTGGCATAGCCATTAGAGGTGGTGGAGGACCACCACTAAAGCTTCGTCCCGGAAGAGACCAATCTAGAATATAGAATGAATGAAACATTTTTTTTTTCTTAATTAAATAATAACTCTTACCAAATGGTGGCAAATTGCTATTCGATGAACTAAAATGACACAAAAAAAAAGAAAAATAATTTTCAGATCGGCATTAGAAAATCAACAATTAATATCTAAAAAACTGTTCATATGACTTTTTACTAGAACAAGAAACTCAAGCAGACATTTAATTATGCTATTTGATAAGAATTCGAGTTTTAAAGTTTATCTACCGATGATTTTTTATCGGATTTTGTTCACACATTTAAAGATGACAGTCTATATTAGTCATGCTTGCGTAATATTTCGATACAGAATTATTAAAAAGTACTGTATGTTAATCGAATTGTATATTTGGGATGTTGAAGAGCGATAGGGAAATGTAAATATGTGAGGTTCAGTGTCAATTGTAGAAATCATACGGTTCAAACTTCATCTTAAAATATCAACTCATTCTCCCTATTCGTGATTTTCCAACAATGCAGATAAGATATTTCGAAATTCTATCATATTATTACGAAATAATTTCGAATGATTTACATTCCATGAAATCGGTGTAAGTCTTGCCGATATTCCTAATCTATTAGACATGTATCACTATTGTCATAAAACTAAATAGTTAAAATAATTTCTAGTTTTAATGGCCTGCTCGACAGTTACTTTGGATTCGTCTCAAATTAGACTTTCGTTTTTTTTTATCGTCCGACTAACTGCTGAAATAACTTTATAAATTTGACAATTTTATTCGTTCTTCACACTAGACTATCTTTCCTCTAAGAATCATTCATTAATTTGTTCAAAGAAAAAAATGATAAATTTCAATTCACTTACGATGGTGGCGGCTGTTGATATGACATTCTCTATTTGTTTTGTTTTGCTTTTTAATAATCTGAAAATAAAAAGAAAGAAAAAAAATAATTATTAGTTTTTAACTATGAATGAAACAATTCTTTCTAATATTCAAACAACCACAGTAGAAAATCCTTTATCAAATATTTCCTATCATCATGAGAAGATTTCGAATAAATTAATGAATACTGTTCCACCACGTCTTATGTCTGAAACAGTTCAAGATATTTTAAATACTTTTACATTTTTTGATTTAAATGCTAATCAATATATTGAAATAAATGAATTAAAACGTATTCTTAATGCATTAAATTTTAAAAAAACAACTGATGAATGTCATGAAATAATTCAAATATATGATTTAAATAATGATCAAATGATTGATATTCATGAATTTATATTTGCTCTTGCTCGTTTAATTAAACATGATGTTTTTACGTTAATTGATATACAACAAAGATTTAAGTAAGTCAATCTTTGTTGCTAACTTCTTCTTTTCTCTCCTTCATTTGGAATCAAATATGAATAGCTTTTCTTTTTCACTTATTTTTTAAAGTAAATTTGATGATGATCAAGATGGTAAAATTACAATTGCTACTTTACCAATATTATTACGTAAAGGTTTTGGTATATCAGTTAGTGATCGTGAAATATTTGATTTACTTGCAAAATTTGATATAACTAATGAAACAACAAGAATATCATTTGAAAAATTTATTCGTATGCTTCAATTTGCTGTTCGACAAGGTGAAAAATCACAAGCACCAGAATATATGAAAAAATTAAATCATCGTTGTGGACCAGCATTAAGAAATATTCATCATAATGACATTAAATTATTAAAAAAAAAACTAGGAGGATATCTTTCATCATCTATGGACGACACAATAAATAACAAATAAACAAATGTCTCTCTGTTCTATTGGATATTTTCATTTAACAAATGATTGTTACCATTGTTTTAGTAGTGACATCTATAGATTTGTTAACCTCCGGATAGTCACTTTCAAAAGGAGATCTAAAAATAGATTTTAGTTTAGCACACGTGCTTCATAATCAATGCATCGTAATATTAAAGATGGTGCTCTACACTAAGAAAAAAATATTTCATAGTATGATATCAGAAGATGGAACCCTAACTCTAATGTCGTGTTAGCATACTACGAAATACATTGGAACACTTTCTAAACAAGTATCTTCGAAACTTCTTCTTAAACAACGACGCAACAAATAACAAAAGTACAAAACACAGGAGTTTTTCAACATGGTAAGTATCTTTGATACTCTGCTTTTGTTCGAAATACTTGATATGAAAACATTGGACAAAGTCAGCATTTCTAGTCAATAAATCGTCTTTCTACACTTTGTTTATAATATTAAAGTGTACGCGTATGCTTTTTTATTGTCTAAGCAGAGTGGATCAAAACTTTACAATGCCGAAATTTTATAAAGAGTAATAGAGAAAAAGAATACAAAAATGATCTTTCTTTCATTTGACAATAAATACTTATAGATGGTATAAAAAGAAGACGATGTTCGAAAAAACACATTTTTGTTCTTGTTTTTCCTGATATAATTTAAAAGAGAAATTGGAGAATAAATGAAAGAAATGATGTATTCTAAGAAAAAACAGAAAAAGTAAAACTTACTGTTCTTCTGTTAAAAAATATCTTATAATCATTTTCGAAACAGTCTTTTTTTTTCAGTACATTTTGGATGGATATTTCCATGAGTAGTTAGCTGCATAAAACACAAAATTCCATGAAAACTTTTTCGTCTGAAAAACTTTGTATAATTCATTGCACTGATTATTTTTATAAAAACAAGATTCAAATCTACTTCATAAATCAAGATGGAATACTCAAGAACTTCGGTTATTCCTGACTACTGCTGATCGGTAGGTGAAGTTTTGTTGTATTTTGACGCAACCACCATAATTTATTCAGTAAATATGAATATTATTTTTTATAAAAATAATAAGTGCAACGAGCTCTACAAAGTAATTCAAACAAATGAATTATAAGATAGTGTAGTGTTTCATATTTGTATTAATAGTTATGACAGCGTCTATCAGGATGTCGGTAGGATTACACTCATACCGTCGTTCACATTGTTAGACGCTTGTAGATTCTTTAGATAAGTCTCTTCTACAAAATATAGAAATTTTGAATTATTTCGTAATTCACTCAAGTCGTAAACTCCCTTATTTTTTTTTTCAGTTGACTACCCATGAAATAATCCATCAAATATACAATTTGTAAGTGTTTTCTCGTTGATAGTATGTACACAAAAGTTCGATCGTAATTGAAATATTGTTCAGTGGTAAGAGTATCCTCAGGTCATGAAAATTGGACCGAGGTTGACTCTTGTTGCGACGATTGGTAAGTAAAAAACAAATGGAATCATTGAGTTTGGCTAAAGAAAAGTAAAAATGTTTCAAGATTGAAGTGAGGTCACCCATGTTCACTGGATAATGCGTACATTCTGCTGTTCAGTAAAAAAAAAAAAAAGTGCAAAAAAAAATGGCATGTATATTCAAAGTAGTAAATGTTTTGTATATTTTCTTTTCGGGTTCAGCTACTCAAACATTGTCTTATTATTGGATATTTGTTTTGATCAAATCATATTTAATGATAGTGTTGATTTTCAGTACATTAGTGTCCTCTATAAATAAATTGATCTGTCATATAAATATGATTTTTTTAAAATTTTCTTTCTTGTAGTTTTAAAAATTCTTTATCTTTTCGTTTTATTTTTTTATCAATAATAAACAACTTCGATGAATTTTTTTCAATGAATAAATCAAGCGACTAAATATTTTATTTGTTCTTTCCTTTCTCTTGTCAACTATAATGAGTCATCATTGTATGTATAATCGTACTGTGAGACTTTTTTTTCTCGTTTAAATAATATAAAAATCAACAGAATACCATTAAGTTGAGATGACAACAAAACAAACGTAAAACTTTTTATTTATTATTACAGTCAATGAAGTCGATCGAAGTATTATATATGACAAATTTATATTGAATTTTTTATTTTTTTGTTGTTTTTTTTTCTTCTTCTTCTTCTTAAGCCAAATGCATCGAACAGTAGTTCAAATAAACCACCACCTTATCCTGTTGAAAGTTCAACAGTGATTAATAATTCACCAATACTTGATCCAAATACAACTGATTTAGTCACGTATGTAAAAATATTATAAATCAAATAAATAGAATAAATTCTTTTAATAATTAGTGCTGTTCAATATGGTTTTTATGATCGTGTTGTTGAATTAATTGAAACTAATCCACAACTTGTAACAGCATCACTTGATGATAAAATAACATTACTTCATTGGGCAGCAATTAATAATCGAATTGATATAGCTAAATATTTAATAAATAAAGGAGCAAAAGTTGATGCTATTGGTGGTGCACTTAATTCAACACCATTATATTGGGCTATACGTGATGGAAAATTAGAAATGACTGTATTTCTATTATCTTGTGGAGCACAAACTTCTTTAGTTGATGGTGAAGGTAAATTAATAATACATGAATTAAAAAGCAAATATTTACTTTTTTTTTTTTTTTTTTAAATTGTAAATCAGGTTTTTCATGTATACATATAGCTAGTATATTTGGTCATACACCTATTGTTGCTTATTTAATAGCTAAAGGAGAAGATATTAATTTACCTGATACACTTGGTATTACACCGTTAATGCATGCTGCTTATCGTGTGAGAAAGTATAAAGAAATTTATTTTATTTTTTTTTAAACTCAATACAATAAAACAAACTTTCATTTATTTAGTCGTGATCCAACTCAATTACTTGTTCGGTAAGAAAAATAATTTTTAAAGTAAATACTTGGATTTAGTTTATACACTAATGGCATTAATAAATTATTGTTTGACATGATTTGAACTTGTTAGGGAAGGTCTTCATATGCTGTTCTTTTTCATTTACGACCGTTTTCTGCCTCAGGCACGGCATGCATGAGATAATACATTTATGAAAATTTGCTCATGGATCGAGCTTATAGTCATAAGATTGTTTCTTTCTTGAGATATTACACGTTGAAAACATTCGATAATTTGAACTTTTTTTGTGACACATATCGGTGTTTTTGGATATTCAATATCTTAAGAAAAAACAAACATTCTTTTGAGCTGAAATTTTCAGAGCATGCTAATGTTCGTAAGGTCTATCTATAGGCAAAATTTTATAAATGGATTATTTCATTTGTGCTTGCCTAAGGCAGAAAACGGTCGTAAATCAAAAAAGACAATGTATGGAGACGAACTCTTCTAATCTCATTGAAATCTACTTATGAGCATTGAATTAGTGCGTCACACTTAAAGATCTTTCTTCGTTAGACAATGTAATCAATTTTGATTTTTTTATCAAAGATTGAAATAGAATTTTAATATTAATAGAAAGTAGGAAGTTTTCATCAATTTTTGTAAACCTTGAAAATATTAAAAAATAGAAATCATGATAAGTTAAAAACTGTAATAAAATGGTTTCATTAGTATTTTATGAAATTCTAGTAGATTTTGAAACTTTTTAATTTGCTATTAACCTTTTGATCTAAATATATAATGGTCCTAGAAAATGATGGTGTCATCTTGTCAATCAAATGTATATATAACGTGTTCGATAACGAATCAAAAAAAAAATTGTGACCATGACGCAAAAACATGACATTCGCATATAACGAAAGGAGTCATTTTTCGATACAGATCATGAAGGTCAATTGATAATAATTACTATGAATCTATATTCTACATGTAATGTTTTATTACGGTATATCCAATTCGAATTCATAGCATATTATCCTATCAGAAAATGTCTATATAAAACGATGAATATTGAATATTCAACAAATGTTACATTACTATAGCGTATTTTAATTATTTTTTCTAATCTCAATAGTATTGACGCGTAACTCATTATTTAGACTTGGTGCTTCTGTACATGAACAAAATCCAAATAATAAATATACTGCTCTTCATTATGCTATATCTGGTAATAATTCTGAAGCTATTCGTGTACTACTTGATGCTGGTGCGAAAACTAGCATACGTAATGCTGATGTAAGCTTTTTATAGTATATTTTTCTTTTTTTTTTTTTTTTTTTTTATTTTAAATCATTTGTTTTTCTTTTCGTTTAGAATGAAGATGCATTTGACCTTGCAGCTAAATCAACTCAAGCTCGTTATTTAGTATTTCTTTTAAGTCAATTAACTTCTTCAAATACTTATTTGCCAAGATGGTTACAAGTTGATCGTTCAATACGTCGTTTAGGAACAAAAGCCTTACCATATATTATTCTTATAATTGTTGCATATATTCTCGATTTAAGTCTATGGTTTATTTATAAAGGTTTTCTTATGCTTGCATTGTTTTTATTGACACGTGGTTATATATTGTAAGAACAAAACGAGTTTACCAGGAATAGAATTTTTTTTTGTTTTAGTGTATTCTTTGATGAAGATGTAAATCGATATTTACCAATAGCTATAGCACAAGCATCTATATTTTGGCTCTATGCATGCTATTTATATTATTTTCTACCATGTAAAATGTTCAATTTAGCCTTATTTATTTTTCTTTACATTCTTTATATATTTAGATGTACATGTAATGTCCTTTAATTTTCTTGGTCTTGCTATATTTACATATTTTTCATGGCGTACTTATTATCTTGCACAAAAAGTTGATCCAGGTTATATTGTAACGAGTAGTGAACAACAACATCGAGTATATAGATTGTAAATAGAAATATGAAGGATAAAAATAAATCTTTTCGTTTATTTAGATAATTATTCAATTAATTGAACAAAATTTATTTGATAGTGAACATTTTTGTACATGGTGTCTTGTTCGACGACCATTAAGATCAAAACATTGTCGAGAATGTCGAAGATGTGTAGCAAGATTTGATCATCATTGTCCGGTAAATGATATTATTGGAATTCTTCTAGGTCGGATAGATATAAGGAAAAAACGAAATATTGGAGAATTCAATTAACATTTTGAATTTCCATTATATATGATGATAATGAGAAGATTTTGAAACAATCAAATAATTATGACAAATATGGAATGAATTAAAATGATGAAAACTAAATAACATACAATGTATCGTATTTCATACAGATCAATTCATTCATTTTTAGCTCTTTTGATGATGATTCTCGTCGGTAGTCAGCTGATTTTTGTTCTGAATTTATTGTAAAAAAAAAGTCACAATTCCCTGATATTGTAATGTTAGAGAAACGGAACATGTTCAAATTGAATAAAATTCTGTTGGTCGAAATCAAATCAATCTTACCAAGCTTGAAAGTTGTTTAGTTATCTTATAATGTTATACAGTCATATGTTCATAGAGGATATGTGAATTATGCTGTACGCGAAAGCACTAGTATTTTTTTTTAATAATTTCAGACTATCGTAATGAATATTTTACCATAACTTGCCAATTTCTAATCCAATAAACGATCAAACCTAGATTAATACTATGAAAAAGAATAGCTCACATCTTTCACAAAGCAACTATATAGTTGCCATTATATATCTAAGATTTTACTTTGATTGAGTCTAAACTATAGAAGTATCCTCCAGAAAAAAAGAACAATACTGTAAACTTTAAATAAATATAAGATCTTTGGTTTTAGAATAGAAAACCTTTCATCGAGTAATTATCTAAATATGCGTGTATACAAATTATTGTCTTGTTTTTGAACATGCCTATTCCGAAAAAAAGCTAAAATGTCAATCAAAGCTAAACAGAACGCAGAAAAAAACAACAACCTAGTCTCGAATTCCGTCGGAAGAAAAAAAAAGCGATCGGTCTATTTTTGTGATCATAAAGAAAATAAGACTAGTCTTTTCTGGTTTGTTTGGAATATTAATGATGGCAAATATTCTATCTATATGATAAGAATTATTGAAGAGTCAAAACGATTATTTTGACATTTCTTTTCTAGTGGGTTGATAATTGTGTTGGTGATAAAACTTTACCATATTTTACTGGTTTTGTATTTTTTACACCATTATGTCTTTGTTTTTTTCTTTATGGTGCTTATATATGTAAGTTAAAATAATTTTTTTTCTATTAATTTTTATAACAAATATTTTTGGTTTTTGTTTTATTATCTAGATTTTCGACTTCATTGCAATATATTATCATTAGAAACAATAATAGAAATATTTCATTGTAAACCATCGGTAATATGGTTTACAGCAATTGCATTTTGTCATACTATGTGGATTAGTGGTCTTTGTATAACAGTTCTAGCTCAAGTAATTCATTGTTATTATTTTTCGTAATGTAAAAGTTATTTTCTTTTTTTAATTTTTATTATTTAAGGTTGTAGTTGGTTTTACAACAAATGAACGATTTAATTTTTGGCGTTATAAATATTTGAAATCACCAACGGTAACTCCATTTTCATTTGGTTGGAAACAAAATTTAGTTGATTTAATTAATCGACGTATACTTTGGTATGCGCCATCAAATATTGATTGGACATGTATTTATACAATAGATGATTTTAATGAATCAATTCCAGTACGATTAAAACGAACGACAAATTCGTCTTCGAATAATTCTTCAAAATATCCATTCGATGTTTGATATTGAACAGTAGAGAAAAATAAAAGAAATCAAAACTAAAGAAAACATCGATATGTGTGACCGAATGAAATGTGATATGCAGTTTAGTTCTATGATGTCTTGTTGTTTTTTTTTTTGTTTTGCCTTGTATTAACTAATGTTGATCGAGCCAAAAAAGAAAAAGAAAAATAATTCAATATGCTATAAAGTTTTTTCTTCTTGTTCTCTTTCCGATAAAATTAAGAATTTTTCTTTTTTGATTAAAAAAAAATACTAAAATTGTTTTTTTTCTTTAATAAGACTAAATGAATTCACTTTCTCTTTCCTTTTTTGTCCTTTCTATTAATATTAAATCTTTTCGTGATTAGAAGAGAAAATCAAGCTATCGTAATGGACTCGTAAAATAAGTTATGACTACCCTTGACAAGAGACGCACGAGGGAACAATTTTCTTTTCTCTCTTTCTTTTCTTCTGTTTGCATTTTTATGTGCCAAGACTTCTCGTTTTCTCGTGTGTTTTTATGTTTCACATTTATAAGTACCATCAGTATGCTGTTAATCATTATCGAAGCAAGATGATGGCTTATTCATAGTATTTGAATTCGGAAAGCCATAGAATTTTTCTTTTTTCTCTTTTTGTAATATTTCACATTCCTCTATATGAATTATTTAAATATTTTTTTTAAATATTTGTTCCTCTTTTAGATACTTAATGGCTACATCTAATAGAAATCTAGATAAAAGTCCATCTGCATTATTACGTCATAATGTTCGGCAAATTAAAGAACACACACAGAAATTACAAACAAATGCTAAAGAAGCTGTTCGACGTATGCCTATTGTATTAACTGAACAACAATTACATCGTTTAAGAGAACATAAATATGCATCGGAAGGTATAACATTATTTGATCCATTTATGCAAAAATTCTGGAAATGGCTTGTTGAATATTGTCCATTATGGGTCGCACCAAACTTAGTAACTGTTGTTGGGTTAGCATTAAATATTGGTACAAGTGTTTTAATTATGATTGAAACAGATGGTGCCAAAGAACAGGTAGATAACATTTAGTCTTTTCTTTTTTCGGGAAATAATAATTGAAAGTATGTAGTGTGCACGATGGATATATTTTCTTACGGCACTTGGCCTTTTTCTTTATCAATCTCTTGATGCTATTGATGGTAAACAAGCACGTCGTACGAATTCTTCATCACCATTAGGAGAACTTTTTGATCATGGATGTGATTCTGTATCAGCTGGTATAAGAAATTATTTTTGTTTATGAGAGAAATACAAAAAGAAAAAGTTTGAAATTAATTTCTAGTATTTGTAACAATTGCTTGTTGTTGTGCTGTTCAACTTGGTGTTTATCCATGGCTTATGTTTTGGGCATGTATATTATCATTTTTTGCCTTTTATTGTGCTCATTGGCAAACATATGTTTCGGGTAAACTTATATTCGGAAGGTAATGTAAAAAAATAAAATATGTGTTCTTTTTGTGTTTCGTATAAGACTTATGTTTAGACTTGATTGTACTGAAGCTCAATTTGCATTTATTTCTGTTTATTTAATAAGTACAGTATCACCAGGTTTTTGGTCGCAATCGGTAAAGAATTTATTAGAATAAACAGTTGATGATTGTAGTTCTTTTTTGAAGATACCTTATTTACAAATTGAATATCGTGTATTTGTCGCATTATTAATAATTGGTTCAACACTATGGAGTTCATTTAATAATATTCGTGCTATTTCAAAAGGTGGTTGCGGAAGAAATTTTTCATCTGTTGCCGTAAGATATTTGCTTTGAGGTTGTTTTTTAATGTTTGTCTTACGTTATTTTTAAATATAAAGGGTACAAGTATTATTTTTCCTGGTTGGCCTATTGGATCTCTTATTTTTCTTGCTGTCGTTGCTTCCAATTATTCAACATCGAGAGTACTTGAAGAACATACATCACTTCATTTACTTTGTTATGGTATTGTCTTTTCAAAAATTACAAATCGTTTAATTGTTAGTATTTTTTGAATTATTTATTCATTTAATAAATTTAATATTGCTTTTTTCTTATGTCTTTTTTATTGAATTAGGTTGGACATATGTCAAGAAGTCCATTGAATGGATGGGATACATCCTATGTGGGACCATTAGCTGTTTGTATTAATCAATATTTTAATTTATTCATTGGTGAACATATTTTACTTTGGCTCTTTCTCGTAAGTTGTTGAGGTTTTTGAAAACACAATATATATAGTTTGTAAGATATCACAAGAATTCATGTGTGTCTTCAGGCTAATTTTTTGGCAATAAATTTATCTATATCATTAGATAGACTATATTTAAATCTTGAAAAAGCGTAATTTTCATTTTTAACTAAATGTTCGCCTATATACATACTGTATCTCCCCTTGAAAATCGATCTTGGCTTCGGGGCATTCAAATCATATGAAAATTCTAGAATATATTGGGGTTGCAGTCAAGAAGCTATAGTTAAATTTTGTGCCCTATACCGTGATGTTTTTGGAAGATATTCTATTAACAACGGTCGATAATAGCTCATTTTGGCAATCCTAAATTTTCTCACTTCTTAAGGAGAGAATAACGCGCTAATGATAAGAGTACTCCTTTATATAATAGGGATAAATCTTAATTTCAAAAACCATCCTTCAAGAATTCTGGGATACGCGATCAAAAACCCATATTTTTCAAGGAAAAAATGGTAGAAATTTTTGGAAAAAATAAACTGCCTAGTAAAACATTATATCATATCTCCGGCTATCTTCCCATACATTTATCTTAATTTTCATGAAAATTGACTTTTTGAGGGAAGAAAACGTTAAAGAAGACTCTTAACTTAAGTATAGACTAATTAGACAAGGCTTTTGAATCGAAACAAAAGGAAGCACGTGAATAAAATGATTCTAAGAAGATTAAATCTCTTGAACTGAATTATAGCTTTTGTTTGAATAAGTAGTGTTTGTGAGAGGCCGAGAGCGAGTTCACGTTTCTTGTATTTGATTTCACTTATAGAATAACATGGTAGCAGTTTTAAATCATCGTTTGATGATCTTAAGAAATAGTGGACTCTCAAAAGCGGGTAAAACTTGGTAAAGAATAAAAACTATCTCTTTTATATCTTCTTAGAAATTCTCATTCGAGTTTTCTATTGAGGAAGATATTCTTATTGATTAGTTGAAATAGTTGAAATGAAAATTATAAGATTCATAGCAACTTTGAATTAGAAATGTACAGGATAAGCTTTGTCCGTACCCTTATTCCGACTAAGAGAAATTACATTTTCACGACAGAAATGAAACAGAACAATCGTTTATAAACATGTGTTTCACAAACAGTTCAATCGAACACAATGAAATAAATGTTTACATTTGACTGTTCTGTTTCGTGTTTGTCTGAATTATAGATGTTTTATGTAATGGCATTAATTTACTTGTAAAATGAAATTATTGTGTTTTAATCTTATATATTGTCTATCAAGTGATCTAAAGGTCATTAAAACAATGAAGAATCTCAAGAAAATGAATGCATACAAGTTGAAATATAAAATTTATAACAATGTTTGATTTTATAGAAGCTGTTATAAGAGAATTTCACCAAGTAATAAATAATTTTTGTGGATTGAAATTTCCTCAAATCATCTTCAAAATTTACAAAAATAAAAATCTCAGTATAACTTATTCATTGTGAAAGTAAACTTCGTTCTAATATATATATATATCTCAGGGTAAGCAGTACTACAAATTTTGCATTCGAATGTCAAATTTGAAAGTGATCTCAGGATGACCAAATCAGTTTGTTGAAAAACTCTTTTAAATGGCAAGACATTCCAAAAAGAAAGATTCATAGACATACATTTGTTTAGATTTACCATGAATAATATTTTATAAAATATTCGTCAAATTCAAAATCTCTAGAATTCTCTACAAAACGATACGTGTCCAACCTCTCCATAACATTTTTGTCCTGTTTTCCCTTAGGAAATGACAAAAATACTATTTTTCGGAGGTTTTCTGTTTAATCAAAAGAAACCTTTTTCTTCAGATTTTGAGTAGTGAAAATCTAATTTTTCTGCTCAAGTCACTATTTAGATTCTTTACGCGAATAGCCATTACGAAAAGAATTAAAATAAAACTTTTACGATCTGTTTTTGAAGCTACTACCATACCCGGAACTGGTTGCTTAAAATTCTTGACTTAACCGACGATAAACTAGTGCGCTTAATAAATCAGTTAAACAATCAGTTCTACGAAGACATACAATGTAAAATTTATATAATCCTTAGTGTTTCTGATAGTAACAACTTTTATTTTTGTCTGTCACGTTTCATTTAGTAACTAATATTGAGCAATATCTATATTATGCTTTGACTAACTTTTTCAATAATGATATGATTTCTATATCATTGATAAGTCTTCTAATATCAGGTTAACTTTTCATGAGCAAAATAAATCCATTAAGCATGATTTGAGGTTCCCATCGTACAATAAGAAAGTGATCGATCCTGTGACAAGGATGACCACTGATTACTTATTTTTGTGCTACTTATTGATGAATCTATAAAGTAATGGATTTCTTTTTCATTATTTAACATACGATCATAAATCCTTCTAAAATATGTTATAATTTTTTGTTTTCTTTAGCTTTACAATCTATACGATCTATTACGATACAACATTAAAGTTTGTCAAGAACTTTGTGATTTCTTGGATATTCACTGTTTTCGAATAAAACCACCGACGACACCATCGACGCCTCAAAATCATTAATACTTTTTAAAACATTATTCTTTTTCTTTTTCTTTTTCTTTTTGTTCTCCTAACATTATTCTTTTGTTTCTATCTCGACTAACTGTTGTATCTCTAGATTATATATTGTCTTTGTTCGTATTATCTTATTATTTTAAATGTCTATTATTGAAATCCAGCATGAGTAAAACAAATAAGAAAATAACATACAAGCAACTAGTTGTTTCTGTTTTTTTTCTATTCTAGAAATAAATTCGTTTTCATTTCCAATGGCAAATGATAATGAACCAACTACGTTCGAAGAAGCATTCGAACGTTATATTGAATATCGAACACGTTTTGAACGTCTTGAAAATGATTTTGATGAATATCAACAATCATCATTAAATTATGAACAAGAATTAGAAGTACAATTAAAACAATTAGATAGTCAAACACATCGTTTACAACAAGAATTATTTGTTGAACGTACACAAAATGAACAATATCGTGAACGTAGTGAACAAACAATCAAACAATTTGATAAACGTCTTGATCAACTACAAGAAGAATTAAATGCTTGTAAAAATTTAAATGAGAAATTAACAACTTATATAAGGGAATTAGAACAAACTAATGATGATCTTGAACGAAGTAAAAAAGAAAAATAGCATATTTTATTTTTTTGAAATATTTCTTTCTTTTTTCTTCAAAATAGGTAAACGAACATTGCTTGATAGTTTATCAACATTTGAAACACAACTTAATCGTGCATTAGAGCAAAATGCTCTATTAGAAAATGAACTTGATGAAAAACAACAGGTTTTAATTTAAAAAAAGCTATTTAAAATTATTTTTCAACTATGTTTTTTAATTTTATAGTTAACTGAAACTGTTCAGCGATTACGTGATGAAACTAGAGATTTACGTGAAGAACTCGATGTATTACATAAAACAAACACAGAAAAAGCTATGAATGTAATGAATGCGTCCATAAAAGGAACACCAATTGTAAATAGTAGTCGAATGAAAAGTATTCTATCCGAAGCAGCAGCTTCCGGGACAACACCAACACATGATTCGACTAATCGACAAGGTAAATAATATGAATATTCCCATGTAATCAAAACTGGGGCAAAAACTACCAGTTGTTTGATGCTTAAACGGTTGACTATCGTTTGCCCTTTATTCTACCGTAGTATACTGATAGTTGTTTTCCGATTTAGTATTGATGAAAAAAAAAAAGTGAAGTCAGTGTTCCGATAATTGATACTCGCCGTGTGAGTTCATATTGGATATAGAAAGATGTCTTGGTAAGACTAGAAAAGGTCTTATAGGAGTTCATCCTCATAGACCTTTCGAGACGAGTTCAAATCGTTTGACCCATATCTGGGCAAAATTCCGAGTCGAAATCAAATAAACATTATTATCGTGTTTTTTCGAGGATCTTCGGCATTTAGTCTGGTGATACTTGACGAGATTTACTCCTCAAGTTTTCTTTGTTTAAACCTTCTTGTATTGGATGGGTCATCACTTAAGAACTACCTCAATCAGAGGGTGTAACAAAACAATATAATAGTAAAAAATCACAACTACTTTTTCTGTGCTAATAGAGAAACAGTTTTCGATTTTGAAGCAGCTTGCACCATAAAAATTTAAATTTTCTAGGCTTGAGCAACGGTCATCACAAAGTGCCATCGTCTTTACATGGTCAAAAAAATGGTGTTTCTACTCCTTCCACACCTAAACCTCCATCATTATCTTCTGCTACAGATTTTACTCGTAATGTTATTCCTGGTTCTCCATCTTCATCAGCAGAACAACAACTAACAACGAATATAAATAGTCCAAATGGTTATTCCACAACTCTACCAAATGATTTTACTCAGCCATTATCAATTCCAACTCGATTACAATCTTTGAATTTAATCAATGAAGCATTTAGACGTTTTAGTGCTATTGAAGCAACATTAGCAGCTCAACGTAAACAATCTCAAATGACATCATCATCCATAAATTCACATCGTTCACGACTTAACTCAACAACAAATAATTCTACAACTAAACAACAACAACAAAACAATGAATCAACTATGGCTCAAGCACAATCTTAAATGATGATTTCAGATATATTTATATAAATATACTGATAGAGTTTATTCTGTGTTTTGTTTTGTTTTTTTTCTTTTTTTGTTCAATCTCTCTCATTTTTATATATACATATAGCTATTTTATTGCTTTTCTTCATTCGTCGTCCTTGATGATGAACAACAAGGATAATTATTCTTTTTTTTTCCTTTCTATTTCATATTTTAGACGATATATATATACATAATCTATCGGTCATGTCCGGAAATAAGAAGTCGTCTACCATGATATCCACCAATAAAAAGCGTGAAGAGACGTCAAGTAAAACATATACAGTTGAACGTTTGCTTAAACAACGTAAACGAAAAGTAAATATAAAAGAAATTCTTGCAAAAAGAAAAAATGATTTTTTGATTTTTTTTTTCTTTTCGTTAGGGTCGTATAGAATATTTAGTAAAATGGAAACATTATGATAAAAGTCATAATTCATGGGAACCTGAAGGAAATATTCTTGATAAATCTCTGATTGATAGTTATAAAAAACAAATAAAATCTACATCTCGACGTACTTTATCACCGAAAAAATCTATACGAAATCAGAATGATGATTTATCATCTGTGAAAAATGATTCTATTCATGATGGTGACGAACAATTAGAAAAAGAAGATGATAATAATAAACAAGAAAAAATTATAAATTCAACTTCAATTGATTATTGGTATCCACCAGTATGTGAACAAAAAGCAAAAATTGCAATAACCGATATAACATCTGATAATGTTACAATTACATTTCGTGAATTAATTTAAAAAATATTTGCATTGTTTATTTGTTTGTTTGTTTGTTTTTATAGAAATTTAAAATAATGTCAGATAAATGCGTGTTTTTTATTGTAAATTTTGAATAATATTGAATTGTTATTATTTGTAAATATATAAATATAATCTCCGAATGTATATGCAGTTTTTTAATATTGTTAGTGAATTTGATATAAATAAAACTTGTTTATTATAATCGATGATTGACAAAAATTAAAGGTGAAAATTGAATTTATTTTTATCTAATGGATTTTTATTAGTTCTTTCATCTTATGTATTCGTGTCGAAAGGAAGGTAAATAACTTTTCATAGAAACAAGATAAAGATGTGTGGTTTTCACCGTTGAAAAGAGGATATTAAGGATTCTTCTAGCAAGTTTTTCAAATGAATGTTTTGGAAATCAGTGTTCTAAGTGAATTCACCTCTGTTTTGTTTTTAAGAAAAGTTATTCAAAAAACACTCCCTTTTTTCTTTTTTAACAGGATATTTGTTCGAGCTAGGAACAAAATTTTGTGTTATCTCTGAATAAATCTTTAGATTTTTCTTCTGGGTTAACACTGAACAACTATCAGTAAATATTATTCAAAAATGCACAATCATCTCTGTGCAAGACTAAATAGCAGCTATTTTATAATTGTTTGGATACTGTTTGTGAGATGGTCATAACGAGAAAACGTTAATCACAGAGTTTTTCAAGAGTATGCTATAATATTCTTTATCATCTAAATATTTAACAGTTGATGCTATTTATGAGCAAAAAGGTTATGATTGCTTGAAGATGAAAATGTGTAGATGCGAACGATAAAAAAACGGACATTTTTAAGGTTGCAACATCTATTGGAAGCTTAATTGACTCAAGAAACAAATTATCAAAGAGAAAATCAAGAAGAACTTGTTCGCAGGAATGTGCCTATTTAGTACAATGTAATATAATGACAGTTTGTTGTCACATATTTCCGAATCCACTGAAAATAGATGACGATGAGCAGAATCAAAAACTAAAAGAATAATCGAATTTAAAATTCCGAATAATTTTGTGAAAGCGCGGAACTAAATACTAGAAATATTTTGACAGTAGATTTTAATAAGTTTTGGTTCATATCACGATATAAACAATAAGAAAACGATTTTATGAACCTTACTACATAGTAAATATCAAGTGTTCAGTTACTACACAATAATAACTATGCTTTATCCCCTCCACACTCTAGTAACAAAAGAATGATAGGTCTTGAGCGAAGAAGCTGTAATTACAAAAACGAATCTCATAGCTTGGCTGCTAATACATGTGAATCAGTCGCTAACAACAAATTATTTGTTAGAATAAAATTGATTAATTTTATACATATTCTTGTTTATTATCTTTATTCAAAAGTTAATATAATATTAACAATGAAATTCACGATTAATGTTCTGTTCATAGTTTTGTCTAAGTTGTTCGAATTTTGCACTTTTAATTAGTTCTTTAGCTTCTTCGAATGTTTTTACTTTGAATAATTCTAGAATTTTTTCTTCTTCTATTTTTGGTTGTTCACCCCATACAAATTCGATTCCACAACCAACTCGTTTGGAATTACTTTGAGCTGGTTTTTCAGGTATTGGTTTTTCCATCTTATTTTTTTTCCATTGAAGTCTGCCATTAACTCGTTCCACTATATATTTCCAAAAAGGTTTTTTATTTATATCGAAGTAATTATTAAAATCATTGTTGCCACAATTAGTAATTCCATCACAACCTTCTGTTTTGTACCAAATTAAATGACAATTTGGACATCTTTTAATTAAATTTCGAGGATCATCATTATCAAATAAATTAAAAGACATTAATGGTACAACTTTTCTGACAAATTCATCACAAATTTTAACATTTTCTTTTTGCATTTTAATGTAAAATGCATAATAATCTAATTCTTGCATTGCACTCCCATGTTGTTGTTGAAACTGTTGCAATAATGTATCGATTTCTTCTTTGAATTTAACGATAATCATATGATAGACTTCATCTTTATCTTCAACTGATTCAGATTCCATAGAATTAATTAATTTTGTATAATCTTGCACAAGTAAATTGATTCTATTTTGATATTGTTTAAATGATACTTTCATTTGACTTTTCATTTCATATATATTGAAATTCAAAGCAAACTCTTCATCAGTAATTTTTAATTCTTCTTCGTTCATATTGGATATACAACTATACATTAAATTTGCTACTTCTGAATTGGAAGATTGTTCAGAAAAAAATATTAAATTCACTACATTGGGACATTCTTCTGCAAATAATTCACAAATGGTTTTAAAATCATTTTGTGGAGTTTTCGATTGATCCCAATGAGAAATCATTACAACAATCTTATGAGCATATTTGCTGATCGGTAGTTCTACTTGAAAATAATTTTCGGTAATTTTATCGAATCGATTATCATATTTAATGACAAGGAAAATTGTATTTAGTTTTGTTGCTGTTAAGCCTTCTTTTAATAGAATTGCGTGTTTGTATGGTTCCGTTGAACTATCAGTTCCAGGTGTATCAATTAAATAAAATGGATACTGACCACAACAAGCACCATTTCGATAAAGTTCTTGTGTAACACTTCCTCTTGCTACACCCGATCGATGGTTTGTTTCACAAAGTTTATTAGCCAACGTCGTTTTTCCAGTTCCTGTTTTTCCTATAATGACAGCACATGGTTTGTATGATAATTGTTTTGAAACTAAGTTCCACTTGATTAGAGGTTTAATCATGGTGATGAGTATTGTTGCTTCTGAAGAGAAAAAAATTGTATTCTGATTTTTTGTGAAACATGATTGTAAATAAGTGTTTCCTACATAGACTATGAGAGATAGACAAAAAGATAAATTTTTTGAGTAATGCGATGATCGATGTAGCTAGGACTTTCCTTATTTCACATTTTAGTTCTGCAGGGATTTAGCCGCACATTTTAATATTGATAAGTTCAAGTTTTTTTGTGTACTCAAAAAGTGAGTACACTCTAGAATCGGTCAGTATGTTCGGCCGGCCGTTTACACGATAACTTTCGAAAAAAGGGGCCGATCACGATGAAATTTNGTTAGAAATGAAAATATCCTATCTGTCTGTGTATATACTTTAGAAAAAAAAATTGAAATAGATTTACAATTAAAAAGCAAATATATCCTAACTAATAGTATAGAAAGAGCTTTTTGTTAAAATAATATTAAGGTTCTATGAATGATGTGCACCAGAGATGTGTACCGCTCGTGCGATCCGTCCGTCCCGCTCTGTGGAGTATAACTTGTATGAGAGCGGCCGCAGCACTTTAAAATTTTTCGAGCGGGACTGGTGCGGAGAGGTCGCCCGCGTCTCATTTACCGCTCGAGCGGCCGCTTTATCTTAATTTGATCATTTTGCGAGGAAATATCTCCTGAAGTTGAAATCGACAAACCTAAGCTGGTATTAACATCGTGCAGCAATACTGGTGTCCTGTTTCTCTTAAATAACAATGGTAAATAACGAAACTATTTGCATATATTTAGGCTGAAATTTTTTTTTTCTCCGATTTTCTACAAAAGCAGGTAGCTAAAATCAAGAAATATAAAATATGTTGAAAAATAGAAATTTTTCGTAAATTCTCTCAGAGCTTCCTGGTGCCTGAATTCAAAATAGAATATAATCCAAGATGTATTTCAGAATCGCATAATGATCAGCGAGGAGCCCTCTTTAAAAATGAATTCATGATTGCAACAATATTTTAGAGAATGCATCACTCGGTCTATTATAAACTATCCAACTGCAGAAGAATCTATGGGTAATTTTCTGTTACTCAACATATTACCATAATGCCTTTAACACTTGTTCAACAAATGAGAGATTTCATCAATGATTTCATACTCCAGATTTTTTTCCAAGTTGTCTTTCTGTCAGAACGGCTTATATTTCTTGACCTGATTATTATAATAAGTAAATGTTTTCGTTAGTGTATTGATAAAAGCTTGCTAAAAATAAACTGTCATTGAAAAAAGTTCGAGAAATGTGTTCAATGAAGGGCAACATTGTTTGAAGTTTCAAACTACTAGCTGATGTACAGAGTTGCCAAAAATGTTTTGTCTGGGGTGCAGTCCCATCGACAAATGATATCAACATTAAATTATATACTGATTTAAAGCGCGTCAAAAATAGGACTTATCAGTATTAAATAATGAAGGTTTTGTAGCAACTTTTCAATGTCGAATTCATGAAATTTCTAAAATTTGACGCCAGATTGACAAAGAATAATTTCTTGAATGAGGTAGTTCAAACTAGATCCGACTTAAAATGATGAATACCATAAGGTAATCGACACCCGGTGTGGAAATATTGGAACGAAAATCAAAAATGAAGTTGAAAAAATGATATCAAAGACTGAACATAAATGTTATCACGACGAAACGCTGCAAAAACAAACTTTAGACGTTTCGACAAACACAGAAAAAAACATTGAACTATCTGAAACTCTTTCATATTCGCATCCATCTCATCTTCGAACTGCTAAGAACGCTAATGGTTCTCCTACTGATTATTGATTATATTCATTAAATATTAAAAAATACAAGTGATCTTGTTATGTGCGTCAGTCAGAACCAGTTCTTGTTTGAACTGCCTCATGCAAGAAATTTTTCTTTGCCAATATGGCGTCAAATTGTATAAATTTCATCAATGCAACATTGAATAGTTGCTACAACCCTCATTATTTAATACTGATAAATTCCATTTCTTATGCGATTTAATTGAGTATAAAATTTAATGTCGATATCATTTGTCTTTAGAACTGTATCCCTGGGCAAAACATTTTTGGCAACCCTGTAGATTTCAAAGTTAATTTGAAAACGGCGACATACAGATGGAACAAACAAGGTAACTGCTGTTTATTAAGAGTTGATGTGAGCGTATTTCTCAAACTAACTCAAGTCAACAAATATTTTCTTTTAAATTTTATTTTGGGGCAGATGTGGGTGTTATATACAGATTTGAGTATCTCCCTTTCACTCATACACCATGTCTACACACTTATCCCTCGATGCACAAGTGACTGTTGCTAAAAAGATACGGATGAAGAAGGGATTATTCTGTGCTTTCATCTCACCCGTCGTCTCTGCTGTAGTAGTGGTGACTGTAAAATCAGGCTCCGCTGTTGTTTCTATGTTTGTCGAAGCGACGTTCGTTGTTGTTGTTGTAGCTATCGAAGCGACGTTAGCTTTTGTTGTTGTTGTAGGTATCGGAGCGATGTCCGTCGTTGCTTCTGCATCCGTCAAAGAAATGCCCGCTGTTGTTGCGATTGTTGTGACTGCCGAAGTGACATCTATCGTTGACAGTATGGTTGATGCATCGATGGGCACGGAAATAATTGAGGGTGGTGTTTTTCGTCGAGTTAAGAGAACGGTTGGGACAGTAACAGCGGTCGCCACAGTGACGATCACGAATATAGCAATACGACTTTTGGCCAGGAAACCTAGTTTTCTATATTGATAATGATCTATGATAATAGTTTTATTTAGCTTCGTTATACGCACTTGCTGCTCTTTACTGTTGCTTCAGTAGCGTCATCAACATCGAATTTCTCGCATCTTGGCGTTGGTCGGCTTGTTCACGCAACGCGACACTTCGCTGATCAAGTTTCGAAAAACTTTTTCTCGAGTTGGACAAATCTAAATGCGTTACTAGATGCAATTTTTAACGCCGATTACGAATTTGACATTTATTTTGTAAAAAAGTTAGGTTTTAGAATCAAAAACCGGGTTTTAAACTTGTGAAAAATCATATTTTGAACTTTTTAACCAAAAAACATTTTTGAAAAAATATTGAGAGACATACCATTCGATGCAGAATTTAATTCTCTACAAAATGGCCTATTTAGTTTTGACTTTCGTAAGTAAAGACAAATTGCAGACTCTTACACAGTTTCCAACTTACTGTCCGGTTTATGAGGTCTCGAATCGATGTATCAATCTCATTATTATGTAGAAGATTATCTACACGAAAATGAGTAACATTTATAAAAAGCAAACCATTCTAAACATGTTAAGTGCCTCAAAACTGGTCGACAAAAAACTGTGTAACAGCGTTACGTTTGTATTTTGCATTTTTCATCTGAGCAAAAATGCTTTAGGAAAAATCTTTTTTACTGCCTAAAAGCTTCTTCGATGCTGTACAAAACTGACTCTGGAAAGTTTTCATTTGGATAAATAGTTTTGCTAGAAATTAGAGTTTTCTCGGCGGTACTGGAAAAAAAGGGTCTTTTTATGTAATAGCGTTACGCGATAATAAAACCTTTCTAGACGTTCGAGACTTCAGCCGAAAAAGGTCGTTGTTATAGCACAAATAGAGTTTGATAAGCTGTGTCGAATGGCGTTTGAATGAACTTTCTAGCTGTTAAACCTTCCGAGTTAATTGAAGAACAGTGTGTCAAAAACGTAACAGCCAACCATGAATATTTAATAACTAAGTACTTGATAAGTCAATAAATATTGAATGCAGAAAAAATGACGATGAAATAACAATTAATACATTCTAGTTTCAAAGTAGGTCATTATCTTTTGCAAATCATGCGTTCTGTAACTTAGTGAGATAAACAGCTCTCTTCTTCTGTAGTCGGCAAGAGTCAAGACTTCTTCCTGAAGATTTTTTCGCCAACACTATCATAAGCGAAAAGATAAAATGAATCTTCTTCTGCTCTTTATCAGAAGCAAAAGAGAAAAGTTCTTAACTGCTTCTAAATGTGCTTCTTTGTGTCCACAATTCACATGTTCTTAACATTTATCATTTAAAGTCATTTTCACAATATTCGTCAAAGAAACAGTCATGACTTGGAAGTCCGATGTGAAAAAGTTTTATTGGACTTATTTGAGTTTTACAGTAGTTTTTAACTTCTTCAAACATTTCATGATTTCAATTGGGGTTTTGATGATCTTCGCTCCCATGATTTTTGAGCTCATTACTAGCATAACTCACCGTTACCCAAAGGTGTGCGGTGTGAATACAAGTACCAGTGAATGTGTATCTCGGTTACATTTTAATATTTACATCTTATGGAAACGAATTGACTTGCAAAAGAACGAAATTCTTATAAAAAATCGATATCTATGGGCAAAATGTGAAAGTTGTTTTTATAGCAATAACTAGTATATTGAAAAAATAGCGAAGAGTAAAAGTTATGAATTGATTACATAGTATTTTCCAGAGTTTTACTGCCAAAATTGGTTCATACACTTTCATCTGAAAATAGTACGTATTTCAGATTCATTATCTGTTTCTTGTTGCAATTAGAATATTATTTCGATTTTGAAAATGAAAATAAGCATACAAAATATAAAAAGTCAAGACAAAACTGAATGAATAAAATGGATGTTAATATTCCTTGCTCGACTCTTTACTGCTACTATTTACTATAAATATTTTTGCAAAAATTATACAAACACTATTGAAAAGTATAGTTCAGTTTAGTTATAAGATCGCTGTATATAGCAGCAGTAGTAGCTCAAAAACCCAAATGGAATAGACACTTTTTTTTGACTGTGAAATGATAAAACGGAGGCAATTATTGCAGTCTTGGACATACTCAAATTCATAAATGAACAGCTATAATCCATAATAGTCACTTCTCGATCATATATACAAAACACTTAACAGGTATACACAAAATAAAATTCTACATTTATTTTTTTTTGAACACTACGACAACATTAACACCACAAAAAGAAAACACTTTCTCATTTAATGAAAAAAAATT